TATCTTTTAAATAACATTTTAATTTTATAAAATTGTTATTGTTTAATCATAAAAATAATAATTTTTTAATTAAATAAATTTAAATTTTAATATCATTAAATAATATTTATGTAAAATATAAATAAAAATACTATAGAATATCATTTGATTAAATATACTCCCTCCGTCATGCAAATGTGTGCTTATTTGACCGGGCACGAGTTTTAATAAAAGTAAGTAATAATTGTTACTTTTTTATAGTAAAAAAAATACAAAAATGTAATGATTTTTTACTTTAAAAAATAAAAATATTTTTCAATAACAACTCAAAAGGAAAGTGAATATAGATTTAAATGACGGAGAGAGTAATAATTAATATTAATTATAAAATTAAAATATAAATATTAAAAATAAATTATTTTATAAATAATAAAATATAAATCAAAAAATAAAATAAATAAGTAAAAATATAATTTTTAAATAATTTTGAATTTAAAATAAAATTAAAATAAAAAATAAAAAACTCACCATCTCAATAGAGAGGGTGCCCTTTCAGACCAAGGAAAATCAGAGAAGGTGATTACTGCAAATATGGAAGGTGAGTTGGAGTAACTTCACCCTGCAAAAACAAAAAAACACAATTACTATTTTTGCAAGGTGGGTTGGAAATGCTCTTTAACTCTAGTTCCATTATGAGCGACAAGTTTTGTATTCGGCTTTTAACTCTATTGAGAGCAAACAAATTCTGTTTTTTTTTAACGAGACATATTTATTAATATAACTCTGTTAAGAATGACCAGATCGTATTTCGACTATAACTTAGTTGAGGGTGTTGCATTACTCTAACTCAGTATGATTCTTGTTACATGATTTTTTTTTTGTCTTTTTTGACAAATTCAGATTGATTTGATCTTATCTCGAGTTTGAGAAAATTTGTTAAAATATAATTGAAATATAGTATATTATATTTATAGTATTTATTTAGTTTAAAAAATTCATAAAATTCTTAACTTATTTAAATATTTGTACATCATTATAAATATGTATAATTTATTATGATTGAAAAATATATAATTTTAGTTACATATTCCAAGAAATATGAGGTAAATTATTACATAAAATATTAAATAATAATAATAAAACCTCAAATCAAACACAATTTAATTAAACTTTCGATTTATAAAGTTATTTGATTAGATAGTTTGTATAGTATTTTAAATAAAAATTAGAACATCTCTACATTATGGTAATGAGCTATAAAAAATACCATCCCATTAGTGTTTCAACGATAGTCTCTTTTTATATGTCTATACTATATTTTTAATTATATCGGGAAATTAATGTTTACATTTATACTCATTTAGATATGCTTTTCACTTTGTCCTAGAGAGTTTAATCGATTTTGTTTGTTTGATAACACTTTTTCATAAAAAGAGGACGGCAGATTCAAATATAAGATTTTCCGTTTTAATACTATGTTAAATATTATTTTATTATAAAAATTAAACTAACAGTAAAATAGATCACTATAATTAATTATGTACTTTTTTCGTCCCAAAATTATAGTTTGGGTTGTGTTTGACGCGAGATCTAAAAAATATTAATATTACATTGGTAGTGGATGGAAAGTACGAATAAAAGATTTTTGTGCCCTCGTAAGTGTATTAGTGTAAAAAGTAGTGACAATTGTATAATAATAATGAAAAAGTAAGAGTAATTTTATAGTGATATGATCATTTATAGAAATGAGACTATTGTTTTGTGACAGACAAAAATGGTAAACAAAACTATTGTACTGGGAGGGAGGGAGTATTATATAATCTTGAAAAATTTATGGTATATACAGATTGAATGTTTAACAAACATCGAGGAGTGCTGCTTGTTAAAAAGAAAATATTATATTAATTTCGTTCCCATTTAATATTATCTTTGTTTACTATTAATTTATCAATTTGCATTTGACGTTATTGTTTTTAATATAAAGAACATTTTTATATTTATATAATTTTTTGTACAAATATCATTATATTATTATTATAAAGCATTAATATAAATTTTTTTTTATTCTTTCTTAATTTGTATTACATTTTGCTATAATAATTAATATTAAAAAATTAATTAAAAAATAAATGGGTAAGATTAACGGTGGATGAAAATAGTACTCCCTCTATCATTCAAATATATACTCACTTTCATTTTTGGTTGTCATCGAAAAATATTCTTATTTCATTTTTAAGTAAAAAAATCATTCCATTTTATATTATTGTTTATTATAAAAGGGAAAATTAACAATTATTACTCACTTTTATTAAAACCCGTGTCCGGTCAAATGAGCACACATTTGCATAACGGAGGAAGTATATAGTATTTTTTACTATTTTTATCGGTCTCATTCAAAAGTATCAATTTTTTTTATTACGGTAACAATAGTTAATATACAAATACAAAAATATCTCAAATTTTTACAAAAATATCTTTACTTTCTTACTTAGTGTCACGGGCTGACATTCCTGCTCCTGGTTCTCGGCCATAGTCCGTCCCATGTGTGCGTAGCCCTATCCTGTACGGCCGACTAATGATCCATATCTTGGTTCATGTATGTGTTCCGCAAAATTCTCCCATACTGTATGGTTTATCCCGGGCGTATTACGCATAGGGAACGGCTAGTCTGAGCCTCAGCGCGGGTGTGGCCTAGGAGCTGGGCGTGTCAGCTTCCGGACAAGTTACATATGTTATCAGAGCGGACCTTGACGCTGATTGCGAACGAAGCGACAAAGTGGGCATGTCTCGAGAGAAGGAGTATGTCGGGGGCATGTCAAGGATGATCATGTTCTAAAGTAACTGGACAGTCCGACGTTGCCGAGCACGTGAAGGAAGAGCATGCCCTAAGGTAACTAGACGTCCCAAAGAGGGAGAGTATGCTTGACGTTGCTGAAAGGGCCAAGAGAGCCGAACTTTGTTCGTGAGGGAAAAACAATGTTAAGGACGATCATCGGGCGAAAATCGCACAAGCCGCAACAACGGATGTCCCGGATGGTGTGTGGAGATGTGCAGCGGAATTTGGGTCGCATGTGGATTATGGCAAAAAGACCTCGCTTACTGTTGGTGAACACAAAAAGAATGGTATGCAGGAAAAGAACCGATGGAGCGCTGTTGGAGGCATACCGAGGGTGCAAGAAACAACGTCAAGGCACTCAAGTAGCGTCGCACGAGGGCGTTTGCGACTTGAAGTTGGGGAGTTTTTCACGAGCTGACATTTCTGCCCCTGGTTTTCGGTCATAGTCCGTCCCATGTGTGCGAGCCCCTGTCTTGTACGGCCGACTAATGACCCATATCTTGTTGCAGGTATGTGTTCCGCATGATTTTCTCATACTGTATGGTATATCCCGGGCGTATGGTGCAGAGTGGACGGCTGGTCTGGCCTAGGAGCCGGGCGTGTCAGCTTCCGGACACGTTACATTAGGGTGTGTTTGTTTGGGGGTTTGGATTTTGAGTTGGGATTTGAATAGTATATTTTGAATTTGAATAGTTGTATGATGTGATATAAATAAGGGTTGATGTGATGTTTTGAATGTAAAACTGATTTTTAGTATAATATAAAAAATAAAAAATAAGTGTTTGATTTGATATTTTTTTGGAGAAAAATATGAGATGAATAGTAGATGTAAAATCCAATCCCCAAACAAACACACAGAATAATAAAAATATTAAAATTATCTTACATACCTTCACTAACTAATAAAATATTATTATTTTTTAATTAATTAAAAAAATAAATATATAGAGATTTTTTATTAATTAAAAAAATAAATATATATTTTCTACTATGATGAAGGGATTAAATATTTTTATATATTAATATTGATAATAAAATTATAACATATACTTCATCCGTTAAACCATAAAGTATGCAATTATTTTTGCATTGTTATATTAAATATTAAAAATATATTTATATTTATATTTATATAATTTATTATACCATTATAATTATATTTGTATTATAAGATAATAATATTCTAAAACTATGTTGTCATTTTTTTTTATTTATACTATATAATAATTAATATTAAAAAATGGTTGCAAAAAATAATCGCACACTTTTTTGTTGGATAAAAAGAATATTGTTTTAATCCAAAATATTTTTATTTTATTTGAAAATGAAAATAAAAATATAATATTTTAATATAAAAATAAAATAAATTAAAAGTAGATTAAGAATATTATGTAGTATAAGATTTATTAAAGAATAATTTAAAAATAGTAGATAAGCTCAACATAAGCATAAAAATAGTTACGAAATAATTAATCCTCTTTACAGCGTTATTGTTGAAATGTGAATTTAGAAAAAATCTGATTAGTAAATAATTAAAATATATTAGGGAAAATAATTATATTATAATAAAATAATTATAAATTAAAATTAAAATTTATTAGTATAATTAAAATTAAAAATTAAAAATCTTAAAATTTAACTAAAGAGTATATATATTTTTTTAAAAATAAAATAATAAATGTAAAACAAACAAAAAAGAAATATGACATGATAGACGAACATACTGTTATTAATAAAATTATGGAGAGATTAATAATTAGGTCGAAATTAATAATTTCATTTATTTTTTCAATAAATACTTTCCAATTTGTAAGAACCAAGCAACACTTTAAATACCTTCCAAAATTGACATTAATGGAGGGTCTGGTGTCTCTGCGCCGGGCCCACGTACACCACCATTCTGGACGGCGCCTGTCTAAAGTTTCGCACTCCCAATGCATCCCAAATTGATTCTTTTCCGGTCCCGGACCTCCATCAGCTGCCATGCATTCTAGAACTCTAATAAACGGTGTCGATTCTACCTGGAGCTCAAGACCCGTCCCCCATCCCAACCTTCCCACTCAATACGCCGAAAATTAAAATACATAGAGATTCATTGTGAGATTTCAATATAGTGATGGGCCAAAAGGCAAAAACGCCCATTTGACTGTGAAATTGTAGAGAGAGAGAGAGAGAGAGAGAGAGAGAGAGAGAGAGAGAGAGTAGAGGAGAGAGAAGTGATCACAGTAGAGGTATATAAAATGGAGGGGCTGTGAGAGATCTTCCCTGCCAAAAAAAACCCTCCATTTTCATGAAACTTTCTCTTCTTCTTCACTGACTCAATTCATCTCTCTATCTCTACCGTTCATCGTCCTCCGGCTAATTGATCCGACGGCCGGGGCGGTTACGGGGGCAATCAACGGCTGTGATCGGTCGGCGCCATGGGTGGGATTAGCCTGGAAGAGATCAAGAAAGAGACTGTTGATCTGGTAAGCAAACCAGTGTCCTTTTAATTAATTCAGCCTTATTTTTAATTTGATTTGGAAGTTGGAACACGCCCGTGTTGACGTTTGGATTCAGATTTGAAAATTGAAACACGGCCGTATTCCTTTTGCCCTGTTTGCTATTTATGGGTTTTGATAGTTCTTTCATAAAAATCGATTCTTTATGTTTGTAAATTCATTTGTCATTAAAAATGAATCAAATCAGTAATTGGCTGCGAGGAATGCTTTTCGTATACGTTCGTGTCCGAATTAATATTATTGAGTCAAATTATATGAGGTCTGTGTCTGTAACTATAAAACCATATGTAGAAAATACTATGTAAGAAAAGTAACTGCTGCAAGCAAGATGCCTGCCACCCAACACTTGATAATTTAATTACCATGTTATAGTTTCGATTTATTATTATTATTATTAATAAAAATTATTAAATAGGAAACAGAATCATAGCTTTATTTAGGGACCCCAGCTGAATTATTAACCTCATGATATATTTTTTCAATATATATATATATATGTTTTACTTGTAATTGAAGCTCTACTTCACATGGACTACTTGTGTGTATAATTCTTATATTGGTCTGCTGACTTCGATTTATTTTTGAATTTTTTTCTTTACACATATTACATGCAATATTCATTTATTTATATAAAAACATCCCATAAAATAATTATTTCATTTTAAAAATTTTAAAATAAATTACAAGTTGAAGGAAGAAAGATCAAACTCGTTTTGTGCCAATATCAACAAGTGGGGTTTGTTAGAGGTATTTTGGCTTTTTGGGAGTGGTTTGACATTTAAGAAATTGAAATATGTAATAATTGTTTGTGTTGAATATAATTATATTAAAAATGTATAACATATTTATTATTACAATTTTTAAGGTAAGAAATATGATAAATAGTGAAATAAAATCATATCCTGAAATTACTGATGCACCCTCTTTTTTCTCACTTCATTTAGAGTAACTATTTAATTAAATACTACCATAATAGATGGAATTAAATATGGCCCTACGACTAGACATGTAAATTTTCTACCTTGAGATTCGTTTGTGGGGTGGGTGTGTTTGTGGGTTGGATATTTTGTCTTAAAAAATTTTAAATTGAAAAATAATTGTTAAATATTATAATTTGAATAAAATAATGTTGTGTAACAAAATTAAAATATTATATTTTCAAGTTGAAATTTGACTTTGTCAATCGTTGTTATTGACAGGAAAAAATAGGCTGTTTATGTAAATATCTTGAAAATTTAAAACTAATAAAGAATGAAATATTTAATAAAAATACAAAGAAAAATATAATAAGATATTGTCTTAAGATAATTTGTGTCTATTAAAAAATAAAAAAAACTGTTTTTCTAATCATAATCAAATTAATTAAAATAATTAATAGTTGAGGTTGAGGTACATTTTCCGTGGTACTTTGCCGTTGGCATCGATTTTCGTGTTTTAATTTTTATTGGAATTCAAACTTCGCTGCGTCGCAGTACTTATGAAAGCTGACCCAAATATTAATGATTTGTTACTACAGTTTTTATATTTAATTTATTATTATTATTATATTATTTTTATTGCTATTTTGGAAGATGTGTATGAATTAGTCGTTAGGTAACACCAAAAAAAACAAACTATATATATAAAAAATTAAAAAGTATAGATGCGCCCGGATTTATGTGCTATTACAAATTTACCCCTATATACGGAAAGTGCGGTGTGGTTGCGGGACCACCACGTTGTGGGTTCCACGCGGCGTGCGGTGATTCGTTGGCAGTACCTGGCTGGGGCCTACCTAAGTGTACAAAAAAAAGTCAACTTTGTTTTGTTGCACGTGCCGTATGCGTCCGACTGCCTGCCATTCATGTGAACAAGGACTTTTGGACTATTGTCCGTACGCTTGTGAATGTGAAACGATGTCGTATTCATCCTCGACTTTTTGTTATTTATCTAATTACACTCTTTTATTACCGGAGATTATTAGGGCTCCGATAATTATTATGAGGTCGAAAGTCTACTCACTTTACTTAATATTTCAAACATTATATGTGATGACTTTGACTTTTTTCTTTAAAAGTATTTTATCATTTTTATCTATTTATTTATTGTTTATTTATTTTGTGTGATTATATTTATATAATTTTTTTTTTATAAAAATTTTTTTATTAGTATTATAAGACACTAATGATATGAGGTAGTATTTGATAAACGAAAGAAGTATGTTATTTTAAAGATGGTGAAGTTACTAATCAAAAAAAGGTTGAACCAACAATAACAAATTTTTTTTCTTGTTAATAAATAAATATCAGGAAAAGATTCCGATCGAGGAAGTGTTCGAGCAGCTGAAATGTACCCGAGAGGGGTTGAGCGGCGACGAAGGAGCCAACCGGCTTCAAATATTCGGTCCCAACAAGTTGGAAGAGAAGAAGGTAAAGCAATCGCAACATATATATATATATATATATATAATCCATCTAGTTCCTCATATTTGAACACATGTTTAAATTTTTGATAACGGTCATGTAGGAAAGCAAAATCCTCAAGTTCCTCGGGTTCATGTGGAATCCGCTCTCATGGGTGATGGAAGCCGCCGCCATTATGGCCATTGCGCTTGCCAACGGCGGCGGACGGCCCCCGGATTGGCAAGATTTCGTCGGAATTGTCTGTTTGCTTGTGATCAACTCTACTATCAGTTTCATCGAAGAGAACAATGCCGGAAATGCAGCTGCCGCTCTCATGGCTGGTCTAGCCCCTAAAACCAAGGTACAAAATTTAAAGCTCTATCTTAAAATTAATTGATGATAAAGAAAAATTATCTTTTTACCTAATAATGACACAATGATTTTTATATTTTATTAAGAAGAAATATTTCAAAATTAATTGGCTATGAAAAGGAATTTTCTTTTTACTTAATAATAATACAATGACTTTGATACTATGTTAAAAAAGATCCAGGTTTGTCTTTGTAATTTTTTTTTTTGGTTCGCTAATGATTACTTTTGTTGGTTTAACGACAGCTTCTGAGGGACGGGCGATGGAGCGAGCAAGAGGCGGCGATTCTTGTTCCGGGAGACATCATCAGCATTAAGCTCGGTGACATCATTCCCGCCGACGCCCGTCTCCTCGAAGGTGATCCGTTGAAGGTCGATCAATCGGCCCTCACCGGAGAATCTCTCCCGGTGACAAAGAATCCTTACGACGAAGTCTTCTCCGGCTCGACGTGCAAACAGGGCGAGATCGAGGCGGTGGTCATTGCCACCGGAGTCCACACTTTCTTCGGGAAGGCGGCGCATCTCGTCGACAGCACAAATCAAGTAGGACACTTCCAGAAGGTGCTCACCGCGATCGGGAACTTCTGCATCTGCTCGATCGCGGTCGGTATGCTGACCGAGATCATAGTTATGTATCCGATCCAGCACAGGCAGTACCGGCAGGGTATCGACAACCTATTAGTCCTCTTGATCGGTGGTATTCCGATTGCTATGCCGACGGTTCTGTCCGTCACGATGGCCATTGGCTCTCACAGGCTGTCGCAGCAAGGCGCTATCACTAAGAGAATGACTGCGATCGAGGAGATGGCCGGGATGGACGTCTTGTGCAGTGACAAAACCGGAACTTTGACGTTGAACAAGCTCACCGTTGACAAAAGCTTGATCGAGGTCTTCGCGAAGGGCGTCGATCCTGATCACGTCCTTCTCCTCGCCGCAAGAGCTTCCCGAACTGAAAATCAAGATGCCATCGACGCTGCTATCGTTGGCACGCTCGCTGACCCGAAGGAGGTACTAATCTTCTCCCAATTTTTTGTTCATTTCTTGTAATCGCAAGTGATCGATTTGATGTGAATTTACGATGTTTTTGTTTCAGGCCAGGGCGGGTATACGGGAGATTCATTTCTTCCCCTTCAACCCTGTCGATAAGAGGACGGCTTTGACTTACATCGACTCTAACGGGAACTGGCATCGTGCTAGCAAAGGTGCGCCCGAGCAGGTAAAGAGTGTGACAATTCATGTTTGTTTCGATGACGACGATGAAAGATTTGTTCTAACATTCTTAGTTTTGCTAGATCCTCACTCTCTGTGGCTGCAAGGAAGACCTTAAGAAGAAGGTTCATAGTGTTATCGACAAGTTTGCTGAGCGCGGCCTTCGATCGTTAGCTGTTGCCCGACAGGAAGTGCCCGAAAAATCGAAGGATGCTGCCGGCGGGCCGTGGCAATTCGTCGGGCTCTTGTCGCTTTTCGACCCTCCGAGACATGACAGCGCTGAAACGATCCGCAGGGCTCTGAATCTCGGCGTTAACGTCAAAATGATCACCGGTGAATGCCTCATTATTGTCTTTGTTCTGTTCTTTCGAAGCTACAGATCGTTTAAGGATTATTCGATATTTATATCGATTTTTGTTTTGTCTTTATTCTAGGCGATCAACTTGCGATTGCTAAGGAGACAGGGCGTAGGCTTGGGATGGGAGTCAATATGTATCCGTCGGCGTCTCTACTTGGCCAGCACAAAGACGAGTCGATTGCCGGCCTCCCTGTTGAAGAACTTATCGAGAAAGCTGACGGCTTCGCAGGAGTCTTCCCGGAGCACAAATACGAGATTGTCAAGAAGCTGCAGGAAAGGAAGCACATTGTTGGAATGACGGGAGACGGTGTCAACGATGCCCCGGCTTTGAAGAAGGCAGACATCGGTATTGCCGTCGCCGACGCAACTGACGCTGCTAGAAGTGCTTCCGACATTGTTCTTACTGAGCCGGGGCTTAGCGTCATCATCAGCGCGGTGCTCACGAGCAGAGCAATTTTCCAAAGAATGAAGAATTATACGGTGAGTTGAGTTCTTCCTTCCTCGATCATGACCTAAGCTACATTCTTATATCGAACCATGTCTTAACGTTTTCGCAACTTTTTTTTTTGCGACAGATCTACGCAGTCTCAATCACCATCCGTATTGTTGTAAGTTTATCGCCATAAAATTGTTCTTATATGTAGAGAATGATCGATATCGGTCTTCATTGATCATGTCATTTTGTTTTGCAGTTTGGATTTATGTTCATCGCTTTGATTTGGAAGTTCGATTTCTCGCCCTTCATGGTTCTGATTATCGCCATTTTGAACGACGGTATGGTTTGTTTTTCGATCTATTTAGTCGTTCGATTTTATCCGTATGTATCTCTTACAATGCGCGTTCCCGGTAATAATGCAGGTACTATTATGACGATTTCTAAAGATAGAGTGAAGCCTTCGCCGTTGCCCGATAGCTGGAAGTTGAAAGAGATTTTCGCGACGGGGATTGTTCTTGGAGGCTATCTTGCATTGATGACCGTTATATTCTTCTGGCTGATGCACGAGACCGACTTCTTCAGTGTAAGAAAAGAACAGCCATACCTTTCGATTCTAGCTTTCATGTATATTTTCGTGTCTTTTTAACTTTGCGATGTCCTAAAACCGATGACAGGATACGTTTAAAGTTCGAAGCATTAGAGACAGCGAGGACGAAATGATGGCGGCGCTATACTTGCAAGTGAGCATCATCAGCCAGGCTCTTATTTTCGTGACGCGATCGCGCAGTTGGTCTTTCTTCGAACGTCCCGGGCTTCTGCTGATGGTAGCTTTCGTCATCGCACAGCTGGTAAAGTTCTAGATCATCGATCTTGTCCGAAACTTACAACATATTACAAAACTCCCGGTGTAATGAAATTAAAACGGATGTTGTCGACAGGTTGCGACTCTGATCGCCGTGTATGCGAACTGGAGCTTTGCAAGAATCCAAGGTTGCGGGTGGGGATGGGCCGGGGTGATTTGGCTCTACAGTGTCGTCTTCTACTTGCCCCTCGATTTTATGAAGTTCGCCATTCGATACATCCTGAGTGGAAAGGCGTGGACAAACTTGTATGAGAACAAGGTACGATGATCTTCTTACACATTGTATGATGATGCATGGATTCATGTCCGAAAAATGTAATCTGAGTTAATCGGCTCGGTTCTGTTCGATTCAGACTGCTTTCACAACGAAGAAGGACTACGGAAAGGAAGAACGCGAAGCGCAATGGGCTCTGGCGCAGAGGACTCTGCACGGCCTTCAGAATCCGGAGACGACAAATCTGTTCAATGAGAAGAGCAACTACAGGGAACTGTCGGAAATCGCGGAGCAGGCCAAGAGAAGAGCCGAGATCGCGAGGTACTACTACTTTTTCCACTAAATTCGATTATTTCTTTTTCAATTTAGCTGACGTTAGATGAATAATATTGTTCTCATTGTGAATGCGAATGTGAATAGGCTGCGGGAGCTGCACACGCTGAAGGGACACGTTGAGTCGGTGGTGAAGCTGAAGGGGCTCGACATCGAGACCATCCAGCAGCACTACACTGTCTGAGAAGGAAAAGGAAAAGGAAATGATCATCGGGGATCTGATCATAGGTGTGTTTTTGTTTCTATAGATAAAAGCGAACTAAAAAGTTTGTCCTTAAAGATGGATAACAAACATGACGACTTCTTGCGCTTAAAACGTGTCAGTATCTGTGTCTGTGTGTCTGTGTCTGTGTCTTTGTTTTGGCGATGTAGCAACAGCAGCAGCAGAGCATGAGTTGGTCTGATCTGCCTGCTTCGGTCTAAATTAATTAATTAATTAATTAATGTTCGACTCGTTTTGAATTTCGATTCTTCTTCCTCTCCTAATTACAGTATATGTATTTCATTGCAGCAACGCAAGGCAAACGTTTGCTTGTCATCTCATGTCATGTATTTTTACTGCATAAGTTGATTGAGATGTAAGAAGAAGATGCAAGAAAGAACTTGTTGGGGTTATTTCAGTGGATTCTTATTCATTATTTACGAATTTATTATTCAGTCATCGGTTATGATAAAAATTTGGTGAATAGTAGTTGAAATCCTTGGAAATCTTTTAAACAGCCGTGCATATTTTACAACACCTTCTCACGCTGATCCGCCATTTTATACTAAAAGAATGTTTCCTGAGGAATGCAAAATGAAATAAAGATGGTCAGATCCATCCGCGGAATTATTATTTGTAAATTAAAAAACATTGCCCCATTTTATTAATACTCAATCATTTCAAGCTTTAAAGTAACAAGAACATTTCAGTAATTGGAATTGTGTTTGATCTCACTATATAATTTCCATACTGTTGAACAAAATTTACTCAGACAAGGAGAGAATTCGTTGATCATCATACAAGGAAGTGGAACCGTAAGCGTAGCATCATCCAATAAATACATGTAATTTGATTCTTAATCTTGGGTTGTTCAAGGAAAAAAATTGAAACCAACAGTGTAAATTAGATACATGCTTACAATGGCTTTTTATTTTTATTTATTTGTTTATTTATTAAAAAGATGTTACTTTCTTAATCAAGAATCCACTTGCCTTTCAGACTTTTCCCAATCAAAATTCGAATTACCTATTTTACACTACTTATCCAATCAAAACTAAAAAAGGTCATCTTCCGAGTATGGTTCGCCTGGTGCGACTTGTCTGTTGGATCTAGTTTGCAGGATATTAAATTCAGCCAGGAGTTTACTCAGTGCACACTTTCGGGTAGCGGCTGCGGATTTCTACGTAAAAAAATAAAATAAATTAGAAAATTAGGTCACCTGCCACACATAGTTCCCATAGCGTGTCGAGCCTAGTTTAATTATCTGTAAATATGTGTATAATGGACAAATGTTATGCAAATAATTATTCATATAAGAAAGTATGTAGGTAATATAAAAATAATAAATGTATGTAGTATATTAGTTTTTGTGGAAAATATATTGAGAAATTTTGAATAAAAGAATAAAGTATATATATGAAAAGGATTTTCTTTTTTTTTTTTATTTCACAAAAATAAAAATGAATTGTAACTATGAAAAATTGATCAATTTCTGTATTTTATTTTAATAATCATTTTTAAGATTGCAAAAGTCAATATCAAAGATACTTCATATAAAATCAGAACTCACTTGTCTTACAACTTCTGAATTTTTTCAGAATCTGTTTTGTCCTCTATTTACAAACAAAACAACATAGGTTTAACAATTACTCAACAATCCTTAAAATTAAACCTAAATAAACAAGTCAACCAAGCATGGAACACAAACCTTTTGATACCCTCAACAAGTCATAGAATCCAAGAAGAGAGAGATTCAGATGGATTGTTAGAGCCATTTCAGATGTCTACTTGTTGTAGGAAGAAGAAAGAAAAAAATTTGCTGCATTATATAAGATTGAAAATTGCAAATATAGTAAAGAGCAAATGAATAATAGTAAGTGCCAAAATTCATATATTAGTATCAAGAGGGGATCACCGGTCTCAATATTGCCCAGTCCCACCTAGCCCCATCAAATATAGTGTATATATACAAAATATGTATATATATATCACATATAGACATACATTATATATTTATATATTATATATATATACATATGTATATATATGTCTTTAAGTGATAGAATTGACCGTTGGGCGGGCTGGGCAAAAATGAGACTTGGTGATCCGATACCATACAATTAGTATCATATCGTGTATATATATATTTAGGCATTGATTGACATGGATTTTTCTATGTATTTTTTTCGAAAAATTATGTGCGGGTCCCAACATAAAATACATTAACCTTAGAATTTTCACCAGAATGCTTCTCCCCCGCCTCTTCCTCTCTTACTTTCTTACTGTCTGCTTCTTCTTCCTAAACAAACCACACACCCACCTAGCCTCCGCTCTTCTTCTTCCTCTCTTTATTCTCCATATTCAAAATTTTGTGTACTTTCAGTGTGTTAATGTAATATTGGGATTCCCCTACCTTATAAAGGGTGAAGGCCTACTCCACTTAAACCAATTGGTTTTAAGTTGGAACCCCGGATTCCCGTCGTAATATGGTATTAGAGCCATGGTGCCCCTATTGGGTTTGGATCCTATATGGATTTTCAAGATTATCATCTTGAGGGGGGAGTGTTAATGTAATGTTGGGATTCTCCTACCTTATAAGGGGTGAAGGGCTACTCCACTTACAACTAATTGGTTTTAAGTTGGAACTCCGGATCCCCGTCGTAACATGGTATCAGAGCCATTTTCTCAACATTCCCCCCTCAAGATGAATTTGGGTAGTATATCCCAAGTTCAACTTGCAACATACGCGATGAAGCTGGGCAGCTGACAATCCCTTTGTAAACACATCATCCAATTGTCTTTCAAATGGGACAAACTGAAAGGTGATAACACCTTCTGCAAAATGATGGCGAATGAAGTAACATTTCACATCTATATGTTTGTTTCTTTCATAGTGAACTGGATTTTCCACCATATGAATTGCGGACTCATTGTTGCAGCAAATTGGTACAAAGAGAGGAGACGGGAATTTGCAGCTCATGCATCAAGTATGTCACCCACAGTACCTCAGAAACTGTGGCAACCAATGCCCTGTACTCTGCTTCAGCGTAAGACTTAGCCATAGTTGTTTGCTTCTTGGTTTTCCACAATATAAAGCATGATCCAAGAAATAGGCAATAATCCGTAAGAGATTTCCACGAGTCCAAGCATGACCCCCAGTCTGCATCTGAAAATGCCCTGAGTTTGAGCTCCGTACCGGCTGGAAAGAGGAGATGTAAGTTCATGGTTCCCTTCAAATATCTTAGAATCCGTTGTACAACCCTCCAGTGTTCAGTAGTTGGATTGGCCATGAATTGGCTCCGCTGTTGAATAGAGTAGCATAGGTCTAGTCTTGTCATGGTGAGATATATGAGTCTTCCCACAATGCGTCTGTAGTTTCTAGGATTTGAAAGGACCTGTCCTTTATCTTGTTGAAGTTTCCAATTTGTGACAAAAGGAGTGTCACAAGGCTTAGTATCTTGCATTCTAGTCTCCAAAAGAATATCTTGAATCAATCTATGTTGGGAGACAATCAAACCTACAGTAGATCTTTCAATTTGGATTCCAAGAAATAATTCAGCTTGGTTTAGATTTTTGATGGTGAATGTTTGATCCAAGTACTTCTTAACTATTGTGATGGTTTGGGCATTAGTTCATGTGATAAGAATGTCATCAACGTATACCAATGACAGAGTAATGTCAGTGTCTTTATTAAGGATAAACAGGCAAGGGTCATGAGTGGATTGCTTGAAATCATATTCCAACACCTTGGTGGTGAACATAGTAATGTCATTGTCTGAGGGCCTGCTTCAGCCCATAAAGAGACTTCTTCAACTTGCAAACATGGCCGGTAGGAACATTATAGCCTTGGGGTGGAACCATGTATATCTCCTCATACAAATGCATTATTAATGTCTAGTTGATGCACCTCCCACTACCTTGAAGCTGCAATGGCTAGTATAATTCGAACTGTGACAACTTTAGCAACATGGGCAAATGAATCAGTGAAGTCTTGTCAGGAATTTGAAGGTATCCCTTGGCCACAAGACAAGTTTTGTACCTCTGAATGCTTCCATCACCATTTATTTGATTCGGTAGGTCCACTTGCATGATATTGGGCGAGCTCCACTTGGCAAGACAATGATCTCCCATGTTTCATTCTTTTCCAAGGCATTCAACTCTTCTTGTATGACAACTTTCCATTCTTTTACATATTGAGCTTGAGTGTAAGAAGTCGGTTGTTGATCATGATCATATAATGCAGCATGCCACACATGCAGGTATGTTGGCTTGTTTTTGGCTATGGAATTAGTGGCAGGACATATGTAGTCATTAAGCCAAGCTGGTGGTTTCCTTTGCCTAGGTGGTAGTTCAGTTGGCAAGATGTTAGGAAGGGTAGAAGAATGGGAGGAAGGCTGATTGGATTTAGACCCAGTGTCACCAGAGTGATGACTATGAGATGATTCTTTTTTCTAGTAGAGTAATGGGATTACTTTGAGGAGTGGTGCTTGTTGTGTTGTAAGGGGGGTGCGTGGTGATAATATGGGATCAGTGGTGATGACAATAGGATCATGAGGACTAGGATAGTCTGGAATCTTGGACAAGGGTGGTGATTGAGACTTAACAACAGAATAGGGAAATTCATGCTCATAAAAGATTACATCACGGGCAACAATCCTTTTTTGATTTTCTATATCAAAGAGCTTAAAGTCTTTTTGGCCGACCGGATAACCAAGAAAAACACATTTGAGAGCTCTACTGTCAAGTTTGGTTTTATCAGGTGTGGTGTTGCTTGCATAACAGAGACACCCAAACACCTTAAAGTGATCATAACTTGGTTGGGTTTGATAGAGTTTTTGGTAAGGACTGGCCCAGTCAAGAACTGAGGTAGGGCTTCTTTTAAGTAGGTATGTGGCATGGAGGAGACCATCTCCCCAAAATTTATTGGGTAAGGCAGCATGAAAGAGTAGAGATCGAGTCACTTGCAACAAGTGCTTGTGCTTGATCTCCATTTGTCCATTTTGTTGGGGAGAATATGGACATGAGTGCTCATGGATGATGCCATATTTATTAGAAAGGGCTCTGCAATTTTGGTTGAGAAATTCTGTTCCATTATCAGTTCTTACCTTCTTTACACAAGAATTGAACTGCTTTGGACTAGAACAAGGAAAGTTTGTATTATTTGATGGATGTTTTGTTTATTTGGCAGAAGATAGGTCCAAGTGCCTCGAGAATAATCATCAACAATTTTTAAGAATCCATTTAAAGTGGGAGACTTATATGG